CTGAGCTTCTCCTTTTCCTTCTTATTGGTCTGGATTTTTATGTCTGACTTAGACTGTGAAAGCACTTATTTATTTATTTATTTATTTAGTGTTTTTGTATGCCGTCCCATCGCTTATAGCCTCGGGATGGCTCACATAAACAGAGGACGAGCTGTAGAAAAGAGGCCATCCAAACTAAGGATTCAGATCTCGCTCTCCGGGTTTCCCCAGATGGCCCCATCCACTTTTCCTCACCCCACCCTCTTTCCTCCACCAGCAGTGGAAACAATAGTCATTAGTGTTTATCCATCTTTCATTAAAAACTATCAGGAAATCGAACCATTCTAAAAGGCCAAAATGGTTCTTTTAAGACTTAATTACTGGCACTAGGAATTTTAAGCTAAATACTGGCATTTGAAGAATTTTGGCCCTAACCCTCAACTCCCCGCACTACTCATGCAAACCCTGAGAGGCTTCCCCAGACTGAATTTATCACTCTGACCAAAAGAGGTTCTATCCTCCTTGATCTATTACGCAAAGTGTTCCTTTTTGATAGCAAACGATAGTATTTGGGCGTAACAATCTGACAGTAAACATTATGCATTTTTCCCACTGCAAAAAAAGGTCATGCAAGTTCTGATACGCTTTGAAATATTACTTCAAATGGTTATAAATGGATGTATTTCATCTATAAACTCACCTGATTTAAGTACAACTGGCTGATGAAGACCAATTGTGATTATGATAACAAATTGGCATAAGAAACAAGGAGGAGATGTGGTTTAAAATAAAGTTAGAACTTTCCATTTCTCCATTTTCTACAGTTACATTTGGGAAGAATAAAGTTTCCACATTTAAAATCTCTGCTCTTTGTTGCTGTACATTCCAGGGACAGATCTCCCAACTGTTTACTACAACCTTTTCTGTTCTGTCTGTTGGTAAGTTACTGTACTGCTCTACAGATTTTTGGAAACCAATCTTTCATGAGAGGCAGCTATTTAAAGAACTTAGCCATGCTCCAGGCCTTTCCCACCATATTTTCAGTGAACTGGGTGGCACGTGATACAGTCCAGATTCTGACCAAGCACACTGAGAGCTGAGGTGTGGGGAAAGAGAGAAACGAGCCATTTTCAAGGTCACTTGAACAGTTCTTACATTATAAAAGCTTGTGTTAGTTTTGGCAGAAAACCATGGCATTGTTTACTTAGAAGGCTATTGATCAATTCCTCTCCCTCCTAATTCTTCTTATACCAGTGTAATGCCAGGTCATTTCCCAATTTGGTTCCATGTGGCTCACAAAAACAATTTAAAATAGAACAAAACAATAAACTACTTTAAAATACAATAAAGCAGAATAAACCAGCCAACGACCTACATAGCCACTTACAGGCCAAAGATCAGCCTTTGCCTGCTGTCAGAGTGGTGGCAAAGAGGGAACAAAGGTGACCTGCCTTGAAGGGTGTACCACAACCTGGGAGTGACTGCTGGAAAGGCCCTTTCTCTCTAATGCTACTTGTTCCATAAAGACAAGCCTCTCCTGAAGATCATGACCAGGCAGGCTCTTATGGGAAAAGGCAGACTTTCAGACAGCCTGGCCCCAAGCCATGTGGCCTTTATAGGTTAAAACCAGCATTTTGAATTCTGCCTGGAAACAAACCAGTAGCTGGTGAAGCTGCTGCAACAGGGGAGTTAGGTGCTACCTGTAAACACCTGTAACCAATCAAAAGTCTGGATGCAAAATGAAGGACCAGCTGATGCTTCTAGACAGTTTTCAAAAGCAGCCGAACATGGAACATGTTACAGCATCCAAACAAGCTGTAAGTAATGTATGTGCATTTATAGCCATTAATTAAATGTAAGGATTCCCTTCCCTATATATGGGTCTTTTGACCATCTTTAAGAATTATAACCCGAATGAGTGCTTTTCACAAAGACACCAACATAGCTTCAAGAAAAGAAGGGGTCTGAGTGAAGAATGATGCAGAAGTCAGGCATTTCCTCAAATCCTTATCTAGCATCTTTAATTTATTTATTTTTAGTCGAGAATAGATAAATGCAGATCAGGCCAAAGCAGATTGGGATCTTGGTATGTAGGAGAGAGGGAGCTTTTAAGAGATACACAAATCCAAAATTGATAGAAGGCTCATACCCTTGTTAGGACAACCAAAATACCACAAAATAGTGATATCATTCAGAATCTGAAGAAGGGACTTTGGAGGTCATATGCCTTATAATTTTAGATAATGATGCTTATAATATTCTCTGTGACTAACAACATATTGATTAAAAGAGGATTTCCTCATGATGGCTAAGGCAACAATATGTTTCAGTATTTCTTATGTGGATTCCAAGAAATCAAATGATGATCTGAAAGCAGTGTGAGCATGCAAATGTAGAACTGAAAATATGTATTTAAATGGGGAATCCTGCACATGCTTATTTGGGAGTAAGTTACAGTAAAATAGGTGAAACTTAATTTGGAGTAAATATATGTATGCTTAGTACCTGGAAATAATTTGAGTCATCAGAATAGAACCAGGTTCTTTTACCTAGCAATAATAGATTCTTCCCCTAATTAAAGAAACCTTAGCTGACCATGAGTTTTAGCCAATCCAATATTTAATCAATTGAATTGCAAAAACACGCATAATAATAACTCAATAGTCTGGAAAAAAAATCATGCTTTCTTTGTTTTTGGATGAAGCACACACATCAAAACAGGTATAGAATAAACATTCTGTCTATGATGGTGCTGCCCGTCATTTTTGTACTTCATTAAATTTAATGTACGTTTTAAAAAAATCTGCCTGATTAATCAGCATTTTAAAATAAGTAATCTAACCAATTAGTGAAACACTGTGCTTCTAGCAAAAACCAATGAAATTGACAGAATACAAAATAAATCAATTTTGTTTCTGAAGCCTAGGCAGCTTCCTAAACCACTCTGGAATTATTTCTATGTTAAGTGTAAAAATAAATAATCTCCATTCCTGGACAGTCAGTTTTATAGATTTCATAGATCCAGTACAGGCAAACCAGTTCAATACCAAAATATATTTTCTTCTAGTTCTTGCAATAAGCTTATGTTGATGAAGCACTATTCCGTTCCATCCCACTTCAGTCCCGAATATTCTTGACTTGCTAAGGAGGTGGCATGCCAGTCTTTAGCCTCCTAATCACTACTGTGTGATTGGCCATGTGGGCCCTGTACTGTTTTAATAAATGCTACTAGAAAAAAACCTGGACTATAGCATCTTGCTTATCCAAGATCTTATGTTCACAAGTGTGTGTGTGTGTATGCAAGCATGAGCTCGCACTAATGCGCATGCACTTTTCTTTTCTTTTTTTAAAGGCTGCTTCCTAACATAAAAGGAAATGCAAACTGCACTTGCAGAGATTCTCTCTCTCTCTCAGTCATGTGTGTTTGCTTGTTTATTCTTTGTAGTGTCTATCTGTTTCATGGAAAGTCTTCTGGTTCTGTTCATCAAGTTTTCAACAAGAATTCTGCATAGCAGCATACTTGTTATTTATGGCAAATGCTGTTGAACTGGTATCCATTTGCCAATGGCAAAACTTGCAAGATTGCATAATCTCCAGCAGAAGAAACTTTCAGAAGCTTACCTTGCTGTAAAGTAATAATAATAGTGTGAATACAGATACAGTGAACAAGAGGTTTTGAAGCAGCGTCTTGATTTATTGCTCAAACATAGTTAACAGCCCCTGATAAAGGCCCCATCTAGGGTTTTAGGGTTGGCACATGCAGTATACAAATCCGCCTTCTCCACAAACTGCTGTCCTGGAAGAGCCCATAGCTCACAGATTCAAGCCCCAGGATCAATCCCCTGGCAGGGCAGGCAGATTTCTTGCCCAAAGATGGAACGCCTCTGCCAGTCACTGATAAGAATGCTGGGCTTGATGCCTGATTTGGTCTGAGGCTGCTTCATAGGCTGCCATCTCCTTGAAAGGGTTGTTCCTCTTGCACCTCATCTCCATTTCCAGAAAAGTATTCCTGTGTACCTTAAAAATGAGGAGAGGTGAATCTGCCAGTTTTGGTACCGCCATTTCTCATTTCTCCTATTTAGGTTTAGTCTTCTACTTTGAGGGAGAAAAACGCAAAAATAATTTGTGCTTGTTTTCATGCTGATTTTTCACTTTACACACATCATAGAGCCTTCTGTGTGTGGGTGTATTGTAAACAGTTTTCCTAATCTGATGCTATTGTGAATGTAATTTTCACTAATATATTTGCGTGTGCATTTACCTAATATATGCATTTTTGTATGAATGCTTATGGCAGAACTCCTTTGCAGTATTATGATTTGAAGGTACAAATGCAGGACAGGTTCTCACTAAAATGAAAACTGAACTACTTTCTCTACTTTCTACTTAGAAATTATAGCAAACTCAATATTCAGAGAACTGCTTTTCTGAAAATGAAGAGAAGGTCCCCTTTTTCATGTTGTGTACATACAAAGACAGCTGATATGAGTATCTTATGATCAATACTTCTATACCACTTAATATGATAAAATCACTCAAATGATAAGTGATTGAGCTATTTTTTCTCCATAAAATCTCTCAAATAAGCCTCTGTCGCCAGGATGCGTGTCCCTTATCTGAGGCACTGCTGCCTGACGTTAGCAATGGCTGGCCTTTAAAGTTGTATTTAGAATGTATCAGCAGTTCCAGAGAGAGCATTTCCAACACCCTCCTTTGTACTTCCAGGCATCTCTGGTATGAACGAGCAGTGCAGCATCTGTGTGGGTCTCATCAGAACGCTCATGCAGAAATAGTTTCTAAAGAGCATGCATTGCTATTCACTAGTGAGCACCCCCACCCCGGCCGCCGCCACCCACGTCCCACAGTCAGCTTAGCAGAAGGGTTCTGTGATCTGCCTGCATTAAAGAGGCAGAGTAAGGATGCTGTGAGCATGCGGGTGGGGCAGGGAGGTGGGGTGAGAGTTACTTCCTGGGTGTTTAGGGATGGCGTTCCACTGAAGCAACTGCAGGTCATTCTGTGATTCACAGGACTAGGATTTCCGGGTAGCTGGACATGGCTGCGGAGAGTTCTATGACATCTTCTACCAGTAAACAGGATCCAGGTTTCCATTGTTCAAGCTGCTACACAAGAAGAAAAGAGAGCAAAGTTTTTCAGAACAAACAGAATCCACAAGTGCAGTAACGGAGCTAGGCAATTTCAAAAAATGGACTTAATAGCCTTACGGGAGGCCCCTTTAGATGGTCATCACCTGTATGACTTCAGTTGTGAAGCATGTGGCTCAAATTTCTTCTTTGTGGTCTCTGTGAATCACACATAGGGAATTTTGTACCAGAGCAGAGCCTAAGCTTTGCAACTGCATCTACATTCCAGCACGTTCAAGCAACAGCAATGCGCTGTTTACCAGCCCTAAAGCAAAGCAAATCTGTGCATGCAGTCTTTTGTGTTAAACTTACTTAAATCAGAGCATAGTTATAATTAAGGGAATACATGAAGTAAAATGCTGCATTGGAGAGTATAACTTGAGAATTTGTTAATGTGAATAGCAACAAAACAAGGTTTTATAGTAGAAAAAAATAAGAGGAGGACTGGCCAGCCTTCCCCAATTTTGTGTCTTCCAGATGTTTAGCTCCTAACCTTTGGCCATGCTGGCTGGGGCAGATAGGAGCTGAAGTCCAAAACGCCTAGCTGAAGAAGGTTTCTGTAGCATAAAAACAATTTATGAAAAGTCTCTGGATGCATTTTAAGAGGTCTATCAATATTGGCTTTGAAACTGTAAGGGGTGATTTTTAAGATAGAAACTGCCACTTAATACTTCCCCCTCTCTGTCATCAGAAAGATGATTTTAAATCAGATATCAACTACATTGGCTACATGCTGCTTGGAGTGAGGGCATAATTATCTCCAAGGATATAAGATGGAGTTCCTATTCTCCAGCATGTGTTGCTTATGCAATTATTACTCATTTTTATGAAATGCCCATCACTGGAAGTATCTCAGACCTGATTTCTATGTCACCTCAATGATGTGATTGCTGCAGAAAATTCAGGCTGTCTGGGGAACTCCTGGGTGATTGTCTCAGGGAGTGGTCTGAATTAAATAATGGTACTAGAACCATCTGCTGGTGTGCATAAAACTGTTCTGCCATATACCATTTCACACAACTTGTTCTTCACTAGTTCAGCTCCTACACAGGTTAGAATCTTGATGGCAAACAGGCTATTCCAAATAATAAGAGAATCAGATCTGGAAAATTTGCATTGTTCTTTGTATTGCTAAATTTTCCAAGTAAAGACATTCCCCAACAATGAAAGATAATCCTACTTACAAGGTTCTGAAAGGCAGAAATAACCAAGATCTTCTGTACTGCAGTCTGTTGCATTAACAAATCTGTCTGTCTTGATGTGGTCATATTCCATCACAGTGATTAACTATAAAATGAATGATACACACATGCCAGTGATACATAGGTTCTGTGTACTTAATGTTCTCAATATGCAAGTTTTATAGGAAATGTACAATGTTTATTCATTTCAATAGTACATGAATATCACAGTTCATCCGCCTCTGGCTTTTTAAACACCTTGGAATCAGAGAGTGTCTATTAATGTTTTTTTGGCTTCCGAAAGTTTCAAAAATTATAGTTTTTTTTAATCAGGTGCTTACATGGAGGTATATAAAAACAACCTTAAATGTGTCTAATTATTAATGTTCTCCATCAAAAACTGCCTCATTCCTTTCCAATTTAGTTCCTTGCAACTTTGAGGACCCTCATACCAACTTCTGGTAAGGCTAGGCTAAAAGATTTTTGATACCACTTTGGATAACCCTCATGAAATGGAGACATATACTATCAAACTATGCAATGCAGAGGAGAGGAGAGAAAATAAAACAAGAAAAATATGTCACAGCAGATTAAGCTAGATTTGATTTTATTGACTCAGTCCAATATTTAGATCTTTAATTAACCCTCATACTGAATACAAATTATGTTAGTTACTGGGATTAAGTGTAGTAGCACCTGCTGCTAAGGGTGGCTTTTCTCAGTAATAGTTGAAGCCTGAAATGGACATGGTAGATAAGAGACATGTTTTGCACCTCACCCTCTGGATTATAGAAGGAAAGAGGAAAGGCTGGTAAGAAACACAATTTGTTTAGCTACAATATTCAGCATTTAGATAACTTTGCCCTGTCAGAGTCATTCTCCATATATAAGGGAATTAATAAAATAAGATCTCATCAGATCAGTTCTTCTTCTCTTTGTTTCACTTCAGCCACCCAAATAAAGTCAAAGCTGCCTCTGCAAGAAGGCATGTAATCTCTTCCAGTCCCTCAGAAATAGCATGCAAAATGCTTGGATTGAGATTCTGCATCTAGTGAAGCATGAGCTGCCCCTCTGACTTGGGCTGGGGAGCAGGCAGACCTAGCCCTAGCCCTGAAAGCGTTCAGGATCACAGCCATGGTTTCTAAGGAACAAAGTGCATTTGCATCTTTGCTGGGAGAATCAGTCATGTCATCACATTGGTATTCCTTAATTTAGAGCATGCCCCTCCAACTGTTGTGTGTGGAGCTAACAATAACACTGTCTCCTGCCTCCTGGCAGCTGTGAACTTTGAAGGATAACATAACAATGAGGTAAGAGGAACAGGGGCTCATCACAAAGTACTTAATGACCCCAGTGGTTATTTAATATATTTAAGATGTGAATTATCTGATGGATAATCTCAAATGGATCACTAATGCCCTTTGATCCTTTCTTCTTTCTCTCACTATTCCATGTTTTAATATAGAATTACCAGAGGCTTATTGGTTGGTGGCATGGTGCCCTTCCTGTCATCACTGCTGCTGCTGTCTTTTATTTCTTCTGCACAGGGTTCCTTCTTGTAAAACCTCAGTTGCCTCCTGTAAAAGGAAATGACCAAGAAAATTAAAAGCCTGGAGGGGAAAGGGATGCTAGCCATGCAACACCACTCAGGCGCTCATTCATCAGATGCATTTGATGAACTGGATAGTGTCCAGAAAAGCTTATACAAGTGTAAGTCCTCAAGGGGCCACAAATGCTTATGCTGGCTTTTCTGCAACAGACTAGCATGGCTACCCTTCCAGAAATCAATTGTCTGGGCAGCTGAATTCCATGTCATCACTTATGCCCAGTCATTGTGATACAACGTCAGTTTGTAACTGGTGGATCACAAACCACTGATGACATAGAGTGTGTTGCAGTGGCTGGAGGAGGAGGAGAGGTCCTCAAATGCGCTTTGGGCAAAATGTGTCTCTGAGTCCTGAAAAGTTTGAAATTTACCAATACAGTGTTTATAGCAGCCTTCCTCAACCTGGGGAGCCTCCAGATATCTATTTGTTCTGCAAATACCAGTACCGCTATTTATTTTCTGTGGAGTGGGGAGCCCAGATTTGCAAGATACAATTATGATAAAATACCATGAAATAAACCAATAAAACAACCCTGGGCATGGTAATATTAATTGTCAGGAACAGACTCAGGAGAACAAATGTGTCTAAGGGTGTCAGAAGAAGCACTCCACCCTAGAAGCCTGTCATATTTATATGGCACTGAGTCTGGTTACAAAACTAAATGAGGGCCAGTCTTCCATCTCGAGGTATAACATACAAAAGTTCAAAGCCAGGGTCCTGTTTCCTATAACTTTAGCAATGACATTTTCTCATGCAAGTTAGAATTCCCTTATTTCAAATGGGGGGTGGGAGGGGTCAATCATTGTTGGTCCTGCTATAGAGAAAGTCGATCATCCTTGCAATTGGACACTTCAGTCCCAGTGAATGTAAGTTCCAGTGATTGCAATGGTACTTGAACATAAATTAGTTTGCTGGATTTATTTATTTATTTATTTTTCGATTTATATCCTGCCTTTTTCCTGCAAAGGGAGATCTGCGGGAGAGTCCCTTCTCCGGGAACCCTCCATGAAAGAAATTAGGAGAGTAAGTACCCG